CCGGGAGGGCGATGCTCGGCTCCCCATCACGCAGCACCCGTCTTACCCGTATCGATGAAGCCAAGGATGCAGAGCGTGATGGAAACATTAACATTCTGAATGTGGAATTCCTGCCTCAGGGAGCTGAAAAATCCATCCAAGGCAAACTTAGTGGCGGAGTAGGGGACCGTAAAGGGAAACCCAACTTTACCTGGACACAGAGTGAAGTTCTGTTATAGCACAGAAAGCTGCTCTGCCCAAAATCTCTGTTCTGCTCTTCAACACACAGGGTATGTTACCCAAAGGCAGTTTACTGGCAGTGACATGTCACCCTGGCACCCCAACAGCAGCGTTACGAATATTCCAGCTCTTTTAAGGTCTGAAGGCCAAGGCCATGGCTCAGGCTATGAGCAACCTGCAGTAACTAGGAAACCCTCGGAGGGGGGAGATGGAGCAAAGTTTAAACTCTTGTCTCTGGGTACTGAGCTAAGCTGATCTCCAGAAGACTTAAGCAACATTCCAGCTGTGAGCGAGACATCTGTTAGTAATTTAGCTTCCTGACTTAACAGAAATTCATTAAACAGAGTCATGTTTTTGTGAATAGAGTCAGTCGATAACTCACTCTACAAATATTAGCAGGAACTTGACCTACCAGACCCTGATGAACAGTCACAAAGAGCCAATGCAGTCAGAAATTACCGCGTTTCCACTTTTCTCCATAAAACTGGAGGCGTATGGGCTGTGCTGCTCTAACGAGCCTGGAACTGGGGTGTGGGGTTTAATTACAGGGCTGGTCAAAAAGCAAGCTGGGGTGATTGGATTGCATCAGAGAACAAATTCCATCGATGAAAATGCAAGAAAGATCTGGATTTGGGGTTGGTTTGGGTTTTTTTTGAGTGTGCTAAGCAGTTATCACAGAATCCCAGCCTGGCAGGGGTTGGAAGGGACCTCAGGAGCGAACCCAGTGCCACCCCCCTGCTCAGGCAGGCTCACCCAGAGCAGGGGGCACAGGACAGTGTCAAGGTGGGGGTTGAATATCTCCAGAGAAGGAGACTCCACAGCCCCCCTGGGCAGCCTGGGCCAGGGCTTAGTCATGTCATGTTATGGCTCCTTTAGGATACCTGGTGTCTCTGCATGCTGCTTAATTCTGAAAATCAGCCCACGGTGTCTTTTGCCTGACTCCCACGTCACCCACCTCGCTGCCCACTCACCCGCCATGGAGGAAACCACCACGATGCTGCCCTCGCTCTCCTTCAGCATGGGCAGGGCGGACACGGTCATGGCCACGTAGCTGAGGAAGTTGATCTCCAGGAGCTTTCGTACGTGCCCCACGTCCCCGTTGAAATAACCAAAGTACGACGTGCCGATGTGATTAAGAATCAGCATGTCTAGGCCTCCTGCAAGCAGAGGAGCAGGCATTAGTGCTGGGTGGGAGAGGGCTACGACCAGCAGAGCAGAGCCCTTCCTGGGAGCAGAATAAATGTTATCAAAAGAAACTGGGCTTTTGGGTCAGAGCTGTGGCCATCTCTGGAGTAGGGAGATAGTCTGGATGGTGGCTGCCAGTAGAAAATTTTTTTTTTTTCTTTTTTCCCCCCTGGTTCAGATCACCAATACCATGGCACAAGAGCAGCAACGCCGCACTTCCGCAGCCGTGACCTGGGACAGCAATAGCAAGGCTGCTGGCGGGCGGTTTCAGACCACAGAAGCTGGGGGTGATGAAACCCAGGATTGTGCTGCCGGAACAGGGCGTCATGAGGGCGCAGAGCTGAAATCGAGAGCGC